TAATTCAAACAATGGAAGATATGCTAAGAGCATGTACCATAGAATTTCAAGGTAACTGGGATGAGTATTTACCCTTGATGGAGTTCTCCTATAGCAATAGTTACCATTCGAGCATCAAGATGGCACCTTATCAAGCCTTGTACGGAAAAAAGTGTCGTACACCGTCTTCTTGGCTTGAGGCCGGAGAAAAGCAGTTTATGGGCCCCGAAATAGTCTATCATACTGCTGAAAAGTTAAAAGTGATTAGAGAAAGGATGTTAGCAGCTCAAGATCGCCAAAAGAGCTATGCTAACAAAAACCGACAACCAATGACATTTGAAGTGGGAGATTCCGTATTACTCAAAGTCTCACCATGGAATGGACTTATATGATTTGGAAAGAGAGGAAATTTGATTCCAAGATTTATTGGACCATTCAAGGTTCTTCAGAGAATTGGGAACCAAGCTTACAAGCTGGAACTACCAAAAGAACTAGATAGTATTCATAACACTTTTTATGTGTGTTATTTGAGGAAGTTCATGGGAGAAGTTCCCGATATAATTCCACTTTCAAAGTTAAGGATGGATGAAAATAAGAGGTTAATCGAAGAGCCTGAAGCAATTGTTGACCGTAAGAAAAAGAAGTTGCGATGCAAGATGGTTGAATTAGTTCTTGTGCGATGGAAACATACGAATGAGCCGAACCTCACCTAGGAAACAGAGAGTGACATGATGTGTCGCTATCCACATCTATTTGCTGATGCATGATTCCGACACGGAATCATCCTAAGGAGGAGAGAATTGTAACGCCCACGTTTCTAGATAAGCATTAATAATTTGATGTAATAGCTAGGGTCAACAATTGTAACTTATTTTGACGTAATAAAGAGGAATTACTGAGTATTATGTGATTTTATGTGCATTATACTTGCTATTAACGATATAACAAATTAAGAATAAAATATGCATCAAAAAAATAAAATAATAGATAGACCCAATATCTATGAAGAAAGTTGAAGTGGTCATGACAATACCGGCACGATGATGTGTGACGTAAAAAGTGAGTTTGCGATAAAATAATTTTTATCTTTAGCAATCTAAACGAAAGTCGTGGTATACGTTAAACCGAGAGCGTGTATGTAGAGGACGTCCAAATCTGACTTCGTTAGAGGAATTTATGATTTTTCTAAGATTTGGAATAGTAGTATGCAACCCGGAAATCGAATTTTAGACCGATCGATTTTTAGCCAACACAATCTAAACAAGAATCAAAGATCTTGTTAATAGGAGCTCAACGATATAAAGACATACGAAAACGGATGTCGGATGAAAGAGTTATGAATTTTTAACAGACTTTATATGTCTAATCCTGTTAAAATAAAACTTTAAAAATAAAGTCAAAATTAGCCGACAGAGTCTAAACAAAAGTTGTAGATCACGTCGCTACCTACACGTGGATATAAAGGCCGTAAAAAACAGAGCTCGTATGCAAAAGTTACAGAATTTAGAAGTTCATTAAATTATGGAAGGATGCGAGGGTGACACGTGGCCGAAGCAGGGCCATTCCTTTCTCTCCACGGTTTCGCTTCAGTTGATGACACCTGCCCCTCGTACGCACAACGTAGGGCCTCGTACGCCCAACGTACTAAGTACGCGCAACGTACTTCGAAGCTACGCCCAACGTAGTCCGAAGCCTCAGCCTATAAATAGGTGTGAGGATCACCACATATCTTCACACATTTTCCATTATTTCTCTCTCAATACCCCCAAACTCTCCCTCCCCTTCGCTAGTACATCCTACGTGCTAGAGGCGAGTCCCGGAGCGCTAGAAGGCTCCGAGAATAAGAGTTTTCGGCTCAGAAGTTCTGCCCCCGCAGAGCCCGACTCCTAGCTAAACCCTCTTGTAAGTGAGTTATGCTTACCCTACTTTAATTATAACTTATGTTTAAGTTCATTATCTTTATTATAAACCTATAAACAATACATGTGCTAAGTATTATAAATTATAATACCTTTTAACTACTTACGATACAAGGAATTTGGTTCGAAGGGCTACTTGGGTTGTTGGATTTCAGAACGGCTTAATTGCTAAAATGGTGTTGTCCTTCGGTGCTTCATGTATGGCCCCTGTCTGTACATAGTAGTTGAAAAGTGTTGTTTAACACTTATAAAATATAAGAAAAACAATATTGCTCGTAAACCTTGAGTTAATTAGACGCAATAAACATTAAAATAAAATCTAGTAATAATGATAGTAGGTTTTGTCGAAGGAAAATAAAATTGTTCGAAGCGAAGCGCTGCCCAAGTTTGGAGTCATCACTTTAAAAAGTGAGTGCATAGTTACTTTCATCTTACACATAGATATGAAATATTTAGTATAAATTACGTGCTATGTGTGCATATTATCTGTGTTCTTGATATCTATGTTGGATGAACAAAATATACATGTTTTACTTGATTTAAACTTTATATATATATATATATATATATATATTATAACTATGATTATGATGGGTAAAGATGGGTAGATAATATAGATGATGAAATAAAATGATGAGAGGTCTCGATGTTTAAGTTGATTCAGTCATCTAGCGGAGTATAGATGACGACCACAGACTATTCTAGATTGTTTAGTGGAACGCTAGTAGGCTCGCAACCTGTAGGTGTTTGTGAATGATGTGTTCACCGGTGTACTCCATCCCCTTCATGGTTTCCTTATGGACATATATTGTTGAGGAACCCCCTATGCAGTATTGTCAATCTCGATGATAATCCTTAGGCTAAGTCCCTTGAATTAGATGCTTTATGGACAGAAAGTGGGGTAACGGGAACAGGTAATCGGGTTGATTGATTTGATGAAATTAATAAACTTAATTATTGTGGGTTGAAACCATATGTTCTCTCCTTTCGATCTCACCATAGCTTGTAGCCATTGGTAGACCCCCCCCCCAAAAAAAAATAATAATAATGCGGGGCAAACATATAATACAAATCACATCTTATATATTCCACAACTTTTTGTTTTTCCTTTTGTCGATAATAATTTTCTTCAAAATCATAACTAACAATCAATATACTATATTTTCATGAAATGATCAAGAAAACCGCAAATTTAAATTATCCTAAAACTTTTAAAGCAAACAAATAAATAATGATTTGCTCATATATAGTCTAAATTTATTAGAGCTTATAAATATCCAATAAATTAATTAACAACCATAAATATACATATGTATATAATATGTAGATTAAGTTAGGTAAAATCCATTCATTTATAGGTGTGTTGTTTAGTCCATATTTTACGAAACCATTTGTCTCTTAATATGTGAAGGACTTATTGAGTGTAGTAAATGGCATATGCATGTTTTGAAACTGATAAATTTGTATGTTTTCCATTCTTACACTTCAAAAAAGTTTGTTTTTTTTTTCAAACATTTGTAGGAATCATGGCTTAGAAATAGAGAATTGTCATTCTCAGTTCCATTCCAAGCCTTGGTTTTGGTATTGCTCATTAGGCTCGCAAGCTTAACGTTACTATTTTGATATGTACTCGGAGATGAGGATTTCAACTAGGATTATACTTGAATATTCTAGAAGGCCCATGATTCACCTTTTACCTTTGCAAATGATATGTACTTCAATACTTGAACACTTTCGTACTCAACACTTTTAATAAAATTGATGTTTTATGTTTTAGGACCGAATTCTGCACTAATGTTTTCTAAAACATTTAAAAGATTTCAAAAGATTATCACATTTCTACTAGCCCGTATGAGGAGTGTTACATAATTGACCAAAGAGGATCGGGACGTATTCCTAAAAGGATAAAAGTTTCAGGAAGTATGTGCTGAAGAGGGAATGATACAGAGAAAAAAAAGGGAGAAGCTAGGTAAGACGAGAAGGAGAAAGGAGGGAGAAAAGGGAACATCCATGCATCGCATGTTCAGTACCGAAGTTGGGAAGGACTGGACACGAGAACGACATTATAAATCCCATACACCAAGAATAAACTGAAAACATTTCAAGTAGAAATGTACGTAAAATATTTTAACATTAAAAATTAAGTTTCAAAACTCTCGTCTCAACACTTATAAAACCATCGTAAAATAGACAGTGAAAGATTTGTCATTTATTAACTTACCTTAGCACAAGAAATGATTGAGGGTTTGAGATGTGGCTAATAAAAGTACCATGTATGATAAAACTATTTGTAAGAATCGGTGATTACATACGAGAAAAAGAACTCGAGGGGTGATTAATCGTCCAATTAACTATTTACTCCAACCATCGACTATTATATATAACTCACAAACACTCTTTATGTGTGGGTGCTTTTCCAACCTAAGAAAATTAGTTTGAAAGCAAATAACATATCACAAATCTCATACAAAATCCTTGATCGTAGCATTTGATACTGTATCATTGAATTGTTGCATACATAAACTCTTGTTTTCTCATCTTTATTGTTATTATTGCTCTTGTTTCCACATAAATGGCTCATTTTTCATCACTTGAACCAAAAGCCCTAATCGTTAAGGGTAGAGGCGCTTAAAATATCCGTATCCGGAAAAACCGATCCGAAAACCGAAAACTCGATCCGAAAATATCCGAAAAACCGGATACCCGATTTTTCGGATATCCGAAATTCGGATATCCGGTTTTCCGGATACGGATTCAGATATTGATAATGAGGATTTTCGGGTTTTCGGATAATCCGAAATCCGAAGTATATATACGAATTTGATATTTTTATTGTTTTAAATAGGATAAATAATAATAAAGATTATCATAAAAAGTAAAAATAAAACTCAAAAATTAAAAAGGGGTACGATGGTCGATGGGGTTATCTGGTTATGAAAGAAAGTTATCGACGTTTTAGGGTTTAGGGGATGTTTGTTTGGCCTTTTAATCATCTCCTTTTAATCATCTCATAAAGAGGCCGGCTCTAGATCATTCAGATTCAGAGCTTTTGGTTGAAAGTTTTTTAGCCCTCTTAATCAACAAGATATTAAAAAAAGGGTCTTATCAGGTCAGATATCACAAGGAGTCTGGATGAAAGATTTTCCAAAGAATGCCCTTACCCTAAAATCGTCCGCCTCTTTTTTTCTTCCTTCTTCTACTTCAGCGAACAACAAAACAGTCCCTCCACCGATTTCAGCTTGCAATCGGACGTCATACAGCGCCGATTCGCCTCCACCTGCGCCGCCTCCCTCCTCGCCGCCTCATCCCCTTCGCTGGTACGTTTCCAACTTCACTGGAGCGATTTTTTTTTTCTTCCTTATTCACTGAAGCGATTTTTAAAATTTTTTCTCTCTTAAATTTGTTTCTGGAAACGAAATCAACAATGTGTTGTGTTATTTTCATGTTCTTGCTGTCTTGCTATGTTGGCTGATCAATTTGTTTTTGGCTGAATAAAAAAATTACATCTGTTATCCTTGACCTAACAATAAAACATCGTCCGTTTCTTTTTTATTCTTCTCCTTCCTACATATCGACCACTCCTCCCTCTTCTTCATCCCCGTCGACCGCTTCCCTGCCAGCCTCAAGCAGCGTTGCTCCATCTCTGACTTCGTCGCCTCCCCCTCGCGTCCTCCCCTTCGTCGGTAAGTTTTTTAATTTGTTTTTTTTGCTCCAAATTGGTATTTCAATCATGTTCTTGCTGCTCGGTTTCTATGAAATTGGTGTTTTAATCGTGTTCCATCTACTCTATCTATGTGTTTGGTGTTTTAATCGTGTTCCTTCTGCTCGGTTTTTATGAGATTTTGGTGTTTTTTGACAAATTCTTGGTCAACATCAGTGTAATTTTTGTTGGGTGTTTTTGACAGATTCCATTTTTATGATCAGTGCAATTTTTGTTGGGTGTTCTTGGTACGTTCGGATTGCTTGTGATCAGGTTGATGAACAAAGCTTGGTGTTTTTGACAGATTCCATTTTTGTGAAATCCAATTTTATGATCAAGTTATATCTACTTTTAATATTTTATTCATAGTTTGAATTATCAAATTGATAAATTTAGATGTTGTATGATATGTAATTGAATGTTGTATGATGTATATTTGGTATGCAAAATATAGTTTAGAGGGTTAAAATGGTCATTTTCCTTGTTAAGAGATAGACATTCAGATGTCTAACCAAACATCAATTTATTGTTCAGATACAGATTCATAAATAGCCTCTATATCATCCAGACATCTGCATCGTTCAGATATGAATCTTCCAGATGCCACCAAACAGCCCCTTAGTCTCCACTATCCAGCCTCCACTCTTCTAATATCAAGTTCTTGTACTTCTTAACTCTGAAGTTGCTCAATCGATTCAAGGCTCGAGCACCAGCTGACGACATTCACCGAAGTCTAACAACCACCGTTAAGGTCACCATTCACTCGCTCAAGATATCACGTCTTTGTTCCTAAGGATTTCACGTCATCGTTCCTTATTACCGTTGATTCCGAGTGCCGACCGGTAAACCTAAAGGTAATTACTAATCAGTAATCACTAATTAGTAAGTATGTTATTATTGTCTATTGGTCTCGATTACAACATCAAATGTTGTGATTTCACTTAGGTTCTTGGATTTGTGCCTTGTCGGAAATATAGAATGTGTATTTGGAAAGAAACTTCATATAATATTATACTTAGCTTAAGAGGCCCGAATGTTTCAAAGACTCTGAAAGATTCATGTTGTTTGGTAAGATGTGCTGAATGATAAAAGTTACCATTTTAACCTCATGGACCATTTTTTGCTGAATAAATTATTTCTCTTTAATAAAACATAGAAAATATAAAATTGAACAATATACTTGCAACTATAAAGCCACTTTAACTTTTAGAGTTTAGACACTTCTTGACATTTTATTCATAGTAATTACAAATTAATAACTGAACACACATAGCAACTATAAAAGCTCACATTTTATTCATAGTAATTACAAATTAATATATCATTATTCTGTGATCATCACCTTTAAACAATAAAAAAAATGTTATACTTAGTCATGGATGGTGTGAAACAAAAGCTTTACAAAAAGATGCACAATACTTGGCAAAGAAAAAATCACTTCTGAATCGTTAAGTGAGCCTCTCAGTGTTTGCGAACACTCTGAAACTTCCTAAAATAGTAAAATCCCCTCTTTTGCTCGCACAAAAGAAAAACACGCATCTCCGTCGACCCCAAGCATCGACGACTTTCCCTCCTTCCCTTATCGGCACCCTCACAGCGGTAATATCTCTCTCCATCTTTGTGAAAAAATGTGATTGGCTTGCCGTTCTCTTCGTTTTTGGCTGTTCTCCTGGTATGGAACACCTCTTATCAAAAGCCCTTGTTTCATTACTCAAATTTTGACATTCTCTGTTAGTGCCATTTATTTTGCAATTCTTGTTTGAGCAGGTGTGTGATTTTGCAGATGTCTCAAGGGGAAAAGCACAAAGCTTGCAGTTGATATCAAAATAGTTTTTTGCATCAGTAGGCATAAGGGAAGAGGATTTTTATAGAGAAGCCGGTTCATGGTATGCATCTGTCACATTTCCTTTATTCTTTTTATAAAGCACAATATTTCACACTTTTAGAAATTTATTGTTGGCAAGTATCCAAGTGCAGCAGCATAAAACAATTGTTTAGAAAGGTGAGCTTTTATAGTTGCTATGTGTGCTCAGTAATTAATTTGTAATTACTATGAATAATTAATAAAATGTCAAAAGGTGTCTAAACTTAAAGTGGCTTTATAGTTGCAAGTACATTGTTTAATTTGATATTTTCCATGTTTTATTAAAGAGAAATAATTCGTTCAGCAAAAAATGGTTCATAAGGTTAAAATGGTAACTTTTATCCTTCAGCACATTCATTCATCAATCTTACCAAACAACATGAATCTTTCAGAATCTTTGAAACATTCAGGCCTCTTAGCCATTCAGCGAATACCAAACAGCCCCTAAGTTATTTAGCATCAAGAAAATCAAGAAATCATCTTCTGAAGCATGATGGAGACGCAGGTTGTTAAACGTGCGAAATACAAATCTTCTGTCAAAGACCCTGGTGTTCGTGGGACATTGAAAATGGTGAAGTTTTCTTAAACCCAATTATTTTGGATTCTTATAAGTTTCTTACTTTGTTAATGTAATTATTGTTGATATATTTTGGATTTGGTTTCCTTACTAATGAATAGTCAATCTGCAGACAAGGGAGAGGTTTGTTTTTATGCCTAATGATCCATCATCCTCCATCAGGCTTAATGTAGAATTCAGACTTATAAAAGGCAAGTAAAATTACCTTATCAATGATCAATGTTTGTCTATTTTACTTTCATCCATGCATCAATGATATTGATTGCTTTCCATCTGTTTCTTTGTCTTTCTTAAGGACACAAATCCAGCAAGGAGGGTTCCAACAGGCCTGCCTTACTTAATCTCACTCAAGATCAGGTTTCTTTTTCCATTTTTCAATTCTTTTGTAACTGTATATCAATCATGTTTCAGGCTTTCAACAACTGAAACATATCTGTCTATAACATTTGATGTTTCATCCAAAGCTTTCAATGATTCCATTTCCAGGGTAATTACATCTTTGAGTTTGAAAATTTCTCAGACAGGGAACTTTGTCGAGACTTTGTAGGTAATGCCATTTGGTGCTTCTGTTATGTTCTTATTCTCTTGTTGATTCTTTGTTACTTATATATATATATATATATATATATATATATATATATATATGACATGACATGACATGATTGAACACAGCTAAAGCTATTACATTTTATGGGGAAGGTGGCTCTGAAAAAGCTGTTCCACTTCCACACAAAGATGAACAACTTAGCTCAGCAGAAATGGAACGTAGGATTAAGCTGCTGCAAGAGGACAGGTAGCTTATCTTTCTCAACAATAACATTCATCATCTATTGAGATAGTTAGTTTATGTGTTTGAGATAATAACATGGACATTTATTTATATGGATAAATTGTTTGTGTAGTGAGCTGCAGAAGCTTCATAAGCAGTTTGTGATAAGAGGTGTGTTGTCAGAGACTGAATTTTGGGCTACAAGAAAGGTTAGTAGTTGCTTGCTTAATGAAACCTGTATGATTTTGTTTATATGTAACAGAAATTTTAGTGCAGAAGTTGCTAGATGTGAATAATACAAGTAGCAGTAGAAAAGCAAAACAAAGAGTGGGGTTGAAAAGTGACATGATTTTCAATGTCAAACCTTCATCTGATGGTCAGGTATGTATCTCTCCATACAATACATTCAAACTCATATGTCCACTTTTTGCATCTTTTGATTTTGGAGCCAATTGAACTTGTTTTTGTTTCAGTCAAACAAAGTTACATTTAACTTGACACCAGAGATGATTCACCAGGTATCTTTATTTGATGATGTTTTTTTTTCTTCTCTATTATTAATACATGAAAATGAAAATGTTTCCCAGATTTTTGCTGAAAAACCAGCAGTGAGGCAGGCATATCTAAATTTTGTACCTAACAAGGTAAGGATTAAGGAAGGAGTAAACAGAATGAATATGAATTATGAACCTGCTTTCTAATTCTAATTTCTAAGCATATTGATTGATTGTTAGATGACAGAGAAAGATTTTTGGACAAAATACTGGAGAGCACAATACCTTCACAGCACCAGAAATATTGTTGCTGCTGCTGCAGAGGCTGCAGAAGATGAGGAGCTTGCAGTTTTCTTAAGGCAAGATGCTATTTTGGCTAGTGAAATTAAGCACAAGGTATAACCAACTTTCAACATTCATATTTCAGATCACATCACAATGTAACTTGAAATATATACAGATTAGGAAGGTAGATCCAACTCTGGACATGGAGGCTGATGAAGGAGATGATTACACACATATTCCAGTAAGAAACAGAGTTGGATTTTTTTTTTCTTTAGTAATGTATGTATGTAAAATGTAAATTAGTAAATTGTAATTGAATTGATAGGGTCATGGGCTAGCTACTGAAAGTGGGAAGGATGAGCTGGAAGCACAATATGAGCCATTCAAAAGATCTTTCCTACAAGACATCAACAGACATGCTGCAGTTGTTCTTGAAGGAAGAACTGTAGATTTTGAGACTGAAGGGGATACAAGATCTGTAGCTCAAGCTCTTGCTACTTGTAAACGTGGTCAGTATACAGTATACATCATCATTTCTGTTTTTATTCAAAAAAATTAATCTGGTGATAAATGAAACAGTTGAGTTAGCAAAAGAAGCCTCTTCTGATGGGAATTTGGTGCATCAAGAACGGTTGGATCGGATAACACGAATGGCTGAGATTGAGGATCTACAAGCACCACGTGATCCTCCTGTTGCACCACTATCTATAAAGGTCTGAATGGATCTTGATTCTCTTGTCTTGTTTGATGTTTGTTTGTTGTGAGTGACTGATTTAAAAAAAAAAAAAAAAAACAGGATCCTCGGGATTACTTTGATTCTCAACAACAAGTTGTGGGAATGGGAATGGGAATGGGTGATGAGTTAGGTGGGGGAGGAAGACAGTTTAAATCAAGGATGAACACCTCTGAGACGTATGCTTCTTTAAGGGGTTTTATATCTGAAATCAGAACCCTAGGTTTGACTGATCCTGTTGTTAGACCTGAAGTTGCTGTGAAGGTGTTGAATGGGTTGACCCAGACTATATCAAGCTCCAAATATCAACGTGGGTTTGGTAAAAACCCACATGAGAGCATATTGGATACCTTGCCAACTGTCACAAAAGATGAGCTTTTGCTTGTGAGTTTCTTTAACCTTTTCAAATATCTTGTATTTGTTTATATAACTCTAAGAAAGGTTTTGCTTGGGTTTTTAACTTTTTATATTTATATTTCATTCCAGCATTGGACGTCTATTCAGGAATTGTTAAAGCATTTCTGGTCCTCATATCCAATCACAACTTCATATCTTTATACAAAGGTAATTTCATTTCGGCCATTGATTGGTATTAATTAATTATATATGATGCTCAAAAAAACCTATTTGGTGAATCAATTCACTATATATCTTTTGTTGGTTTGGTTTTTATTTATTTGGATTTTTCCTTCATCTGTTATTTGTAATGTAGGTGAGCCGGCTGAAGGATGCCATGTCACAAATCTACCCAAAGTTACAGGTATGGTATCTTTTCTTTGGTCAATCAAGGAGTTAATTGTGTGGTAGGTATTAAATGACAGACATTTTCTTTATTTGTATCATTATCATGTCAAGAATTATGTTTGTAACTTTGTATATTGTACTGAAAGTTTAATAATTTCCTTCCAGGAGATTAAAGAATCCGTGCAGTCAGATTCAAGGCATCAAGTTTCCCTCCTTGTTCAACCAATGTTACAGGTGCTTAATATTATTCATTTTGTTTTGTTGTACATTCTTATTATTATTATTATTCTTTTATTGTTTGTTGGCGCAGGCTTTAGATGCTGCTTTTGCACACTATGATGCAGTAGATCAACGCAAGAGATCTACTGCAAATGGTTACAATGTCTAATCATGACTTATTTTCTTACTTATTCATCATCATTGATTTGCATACTGTACATTCAACAAAATTTTCATGTGAGACCCACCTTGCTTTCCTTGTCTTAAAAAAGACTTTTTTCCGATATAATATGATGAAATATCACTTGTCAAATGTCAATCAATTTTGTAAAGACATCAATCACCAAATAAATCATCAAAACTAGATTAGGGCATGCAAGCTTTCTAGGTTTTGGTTTGTATATTTTCATAATGATTTCATCAACCCTTTAGGGCATCCTCAAAATATGGTTTCACATGCCACTATCTAATTACAACCAAACTTTGCTCGATGGATACAAAACATCCACATTTTAGCAACTAATCTTAGGTGTTGTTTGTTTTTCCTAAGTGAAACTGTCTCATGTCTGCGGATCACTTCTATAGACCTTTGCAGCAGAAGAGGTGAACCAAACGATTGCAATGAGAAGCGTGTTTGTTTTTTTAACATCTGCGGCTGCTGCAGATATTAAAAAATTTAAAATAAAGTGATTTAATAAACCGGAAATAGTTTTTTAATATCAAAAATTTAATAATTGTAGTCTTAAAACATTGAAATAAGATTCAAACAACCAAATTAGTCTTACAATAACATTTTAAAATAAAATTCATACAACCGAACTTTAATAATTTTCATTCCATATATTGCATCAATTTTTCGGCAATTTCATCCCGTAACTGGGTCATATATTCACGGTCCGCTGCAGTACCGTGTGTTGGAATCTCACATTCTTTATTATCAACGACTGCATTGTTATTCCGAACCGAGACATTTGGTTCATCATATCGTGCAAAATACTCATCACGTAGTCCCTCTCTTCTTATAAAATTATGAAGCGCGAAGCATGCAAGGGTAATGTTTCGTTGTATAATCAACGAGAATGGTGCCATCCTCTTCAATATAGGGAATCGTGCCTTCAAGACACCAAAAACACGCTCAATGACATTCCGAAGTTTTGCGTGTGCATGGTTAAATTTTTCTTTATTCGTTAATGCACGTCTTCGACGAAAATCTCCAAGCCAATACCTCACATTACGATACGGTGCTATAAAACCTCAAATGTTTGCATAGGCGGCATCACAAAGATAATATTTATCTGTAAAAAAAAACAAAAAAAAATCATTTATTTTTCAAACTAAGATAAAACTATTTAAATAACAATAAATTTACCTGATGGTGGAAACGAGAATGTTGCCTGTGGATTTGCTAATGCTTCTGATAAAATTCTCGAATCATGTGCTATCCCTTCGCAACCGGCCACAACAAACGTAAACATCATGTTGAAGTCACATATTGCCAATATGTTTTGGTAACAATCGCCTTTTCCCCTACTTCTATATAAATCCCGTTTGTTTGCGGGGACATCAACATGTATCAAAGTGCCATCAAGTGCACCAACTGCTCCTTTGAACACCCGTCGTAGCCTCCTATTATGTCCCGAAATGTTTGGATTCGGATTAAAAGAAGTTGGTACTATAATGTCATGTGCGAAAAACAACATTTTGTCCAACACTTCATGAAAAAATTTATGAATTGTTTGTTTTGAGTGTTGAAATCTTCGCTTGATAATCACGTATCGTTGGTTATGACTGATCATCATAAAAAACATAGCCATCTTTTCTTCAACTGATACATGTTTGCTATCCTTTAACGCGTAATTTAGTCTTAAAATGCGCGCGTAGTCGGACAAATGATTCACGAGACATGCGTAGTACTTCAACACATTGTACTTCTTCAATACAAGTGTTCAATAAGAATTTTGTTTGCTCATTGGTCCATGTATGTTTATCTGCCATTGCTAATAAAAAAACATATGGAATACATACTTTAGCAAACATAACCTTATACCAAGAACTTTCAACATAACAACAACTTGTATTGATTAAAATAACCAATTTCAGCAAAGATTATTCATATTTCAGCAACAATTATGACACTTCAACAACATTTTATGACATTTGAACAATATTTCATGACATTTCAGCAACAATTTATAACAATTCAACAACAATTTGTGACAATTCAACAACAATTTGTGACAATTCAGCAACAATTTATGACAATTCAGCAACAATTTTATGATATTTCAGTAATATTTCATGACAATTAAACAACAATATGTGACTTTTAAGCACAAATTGAAGACATTGCAGCAAGAACTTATCATTTATCAAGATAGAAACAACATCATCAACTATTTGATAATATTAGCATCAAGATTAAGCAAGAACAAAGATTCAACAACAAAAATTGAAAAATTAATATCAAGCATGAACAATGAAGTAATTCCACCAACAAAATCGAAATGTTGAATAACCCCAAGCAGATGCGCTGCCTTCAGCAGCAAAAAACGAAAAAAAAAACCATACCTGCGATGAGGGACTGTCGGAAGGGGGCTGTGCCGGTGGGGGGTTGCGCCGGTGGTGGATGCGCTGGGAGGAGGAGTGTGGTCGACGGGAGGTGGGAGACGAGAGGTGTTGCGATGGACTTCTTGGAACGAGAAGCTGTGGGAATGTGTCAGCCGCTCTTTTTTTTATTTTTTTATTTTTTTTATTTTTTATTTTTTATTTTTTATTTTTAGCTTTAGGTTGGTTTGAAGAGGTTAGAAGTAATTTTCAAGTCCTGTCCCAAGAAGAGGACGGGAAGAGGTTTTTGTGACATCCCCAATTTCACGGCCAGAAAAGACCGATTTGTTTATGCTTTGTTTTATAAAATCAGAGTAATCCTTTGATTAAAAGAGTTGCGGAATTCGTTCCAAAAACAAAATGTGATAAAATTTATCAAAACATTTCTCAAAGAGAATGTATTTTCATTAAATAATAAAACCTCGGGATGTCATGTTCCGATACAGACCAAAAGCATAAACAGTACAATACAGACCTTACGGCAGTTATTTACAACTACTGGTCTATAATCCTGAAATCTCTCGTCAAGTCAACCAACTTATACTCTTGTGCCATTACCTGTAATACAAAGAAAACTGAGTTGGTCAAGCTTGGGAGCCTGGTGAGCATATAGGGTTTTCAACCCACAATAATACAATTATTATATTTAATCGTCAAACAAATCAACCCAATTACCCAATCCCATTATCTCCTTTATTTCTTAAGGATTTACCCTAAGAATCGATCATCCATCGCTCGTTCATTCCTAAGGATTGACCTAAGGAATTGACACAAAGTCCATCACTGCCAAGGTCCTCAAAACTTACTCGGTTTTAATTATCCAAATTTTAAGGCATTTAAAATTATAATTAAGGAAACTAGAAACCCTAAAAGAAACCATAGCAATTTCGAAAATAGGGGTGGAGGCTAAGGTCTCAAGAACCCTAAGTCTTTTGCGAAAATTTAAGGCCATTAAGGTTTAATTTCCATAAACCCTAATTTTGAACAGTTCACTATTATGCACAATCAGTTAGAAAACCAAGGTTCTGATACCACTGTTGAGTTTGCTAGGTTAAAAAAAAATCATGTGGCAGAAAAACACTTAAACCTTTAAGTTCACATGCACCTAGAAAGGATCTATGTTTTCTCTATTGATAGAAATAACCTATGAACATCAAGAAAACCATAGAGAGAGATTATGAAAATCGAAATTAACATAAAGATTAGGGTTATATACCTTTTGATTATTATTGAAAATAATCAAATCAAATCCTCTTGAAGTTCCTTAGAAAACAAGCACCAAAAGCTTGGATGCCTCTAATGGCTCACACCCAAACCTTAGAACTAGAAGACCATTGAGGAGGGAGGAGGGGAGGAAAATTTTGTTCCTATGGCTTTATGGGTAGTGCATGAACGAAATTAAGGTCATAAGGGGTAATATTTATAGTCTAGGTAACTTAGGGACCAAGCAAGTTTTGAATAGATTTTAATCCAAATCCAAATCATTTCCTTATATGCATCAAAGAGGCTTCTGGAAACCCCAAGGAGGCTCCTAAAACCGTCCACCCCTTGGATGGTTCTAGAATCGCTTCTTTTGTTCAACTATTGAACAATTACAATTCACCCCTTGCACCTCTAATAAATTCCAGTTAATCGTAAATTAATTCAAGATTAATTCTGATTAATAATTAATCAATTCTAATTGATTTCATATCAATTTTATTAACCATATACATTAACAAAAGAATTATTTTAACAATTGATCTCATAATAATTTATTAATCACATGATAAACTAATAAACCTACTGTCTATTTCCAATTAATATATTAATCATATAATATATTAACAAATCATTTCGTCATAATTTCCAGTTAGTTTATTAATCATATAATAATCTAATAAATCATCATTTCTCTATAAATGTCATTCTAATTAAGTTCTAGTTATGAGGGCAATCCAAAAAGGACTTTGCTTCTAATTACAAGAATATACCAATTTAGTTACTGACTTAGACACCTTAATCCAACAAAAACCTCATACATACATGCGCAAAACCAATCAACACAATCAATTGAATTGTTATTATCTATTAATATTTTTTTGTAGTTCGGCAATACAAGTGAGTTTCCTATTGAGTTGAATGCCATGATCGACAAAAAATTGGCTTTCAAGATTGTTGTCAAGACATTTAATTTTTCAAGATTTGGTCGTACTTACAACATTTCCAAAATAACAGAAAATGTTGACATTATTTCTGCTTTGGAAAAGATTGAGAAAAAGTGTAGGATTGGACAGGTAAAAATACACCAAGTTAAAGAATTTAAAACATATATATATTTTGAAAATACTATTTTCTAGATTCCTTAACCAAAACATACTTTTTATTTTATACATATTTTATAGGACATGGATACTGAATCTGTTAATATAATTGGCTCAGAATTTGAATCTCAAGACACAGTGGGTTGTAAGGTAAGCTATAATACAACATCATTTTTTATATATGTTATCCTTTATATTACTAAATGAACATTATTTCTTCTTTAATTTAAGGATGCTACTTCCCACAATGCTGATAGTACTCCTGTGTCGAATATTCCCTCTGGCATTTGTACAACTCCATCATCAAGAACAGCCGACAACCTCAATTCACCACCTACAAGTGCCAAACGTAAACTTGTAGATGTTTACGATCTTGATGATGACGTTTATGAATCAGCAACGAAACCTAATGCACCCCGTATTGGAGATGCCAAAGTTGTTGGAACAACAAAATTGTTGATTCCTAAAGTGGAAAAGTGATCCTTTTTATGAAGATAAAAACTTCAATCTTTCTTTGCTACTCTATGCTATTTTCTGAGACATTTTTTTTAATATTTCCTTACTTCTACTTGCATTTTATTTCAGAATTTAATATTTATTGTTTGGTACACTATGAATATTCATTCGTGTTATGTTTTACGTTGGATTTTAATATTTAGTGTTTGGAACAAAGAATTTTTTCTCTTATTATTCAACATTTTAAATCTTCATAACTTTCTTTCACGGTCCATGATTCTTGTATCCCTGTTGACAGTTTCATAAACAAACAGAACAAATACAAGGGAATGTAACTGAATTTCATTCCAGTGACGTCTTTTCTTAAGAACATGTTTCCTGGAATAGTAGACAAGGTCCTATTATATAAAAAGGGCATTTTTGACCTTTTAGCAAATTATGAAGTTTTTACACCCGATTTGAAAAAAAATATTAAATGTGATATGTGCAAATGGTGGGTTAAAAAGAAAAGAAAAGGTTATTGTTTGTCTTTATTTTGGATAAAGGGCATTTTAGTCTTTTTATAAAAAAAATGAAATTTAACAATAAAACTATAGAAAACTATGCATAAAATAGCATTGTATTTTATAAAAACATGATTTTTTAACATTTTTAACAAAGAAAAGTACAAATGTTTTGCTGTGTTACTATATGTTCTAAAACAATTTGCAACAAATGTGACTGTTTCTTTTTCTTGCTTAGAAAACTACTTTTATGAGCAAAACTACTTTTAACTTTAAGAAAAATCAAACAATATTAGAATTATATTTATTTAAATTGTCTAGGTTATGTTTTAGTAAGTTTTCTTTGGGATCCTATATTTACACAGAGGTATTTTGGGATCCTGTTTCGTTAGTGCAATGGCAAGAAGAATCGTATATTAAAGGTGATATGTGCAAATGGTGGGTTAAAAAGAAAAGAAAAGGTTATTTTTTGTTTTTATTTTGGATAAAGGGCATTTTGGTCCTTTTATAGAAAAATGACATATAACAACAAAACTTTAGAAAATATGCAGAAAATAGCATTGTACTTTATAAAAATATGATTTTTTTAACATTTTTCAAAAAGGAAAGTACAATGTTTTGCTGTGTTATTATGTGTTGTAAAAAAAATTGCAACAAATGTCACTGTTTTGTCCCTGCTTAGAAAACTACTTTTATGAGCAAAACTACTTTTATATTTAAGAAAATCAAACAATATTAGAATTATATTTATTTAAATTGTCTAAGTTATGAGTTTGAGTAAATTTTGTGGATCCTATATTTACATAGAGGTATTTTCAATATATGTTACTGAAATTTTTTAGTTTTTTATTGGCCAAGTGAAAAGAAAATCTTAAAAGTTTATTAATTTACTATATAAATTTAGAAAAATAGTGGTTTTTCTGTATTTTTAATAGATTTTTAGTGATATGCAAATTCAATGATAATATTAACAATGTATATTATGCTTATTAAAGCCAGGACTTTAAATAAAATAAGCACATCTATCATCTTCTATTCTAATGATAATATAATAATCTGTAATCTGTAAAAATATAATATATGATATATGAAAGATATAATATTGAAATTGGGTCAATTAAAAGCAAGTGAATATCTCCTTAACATCTCACGTAATTTTTGCAATGAAGGTATTAAATATGTCCTTATTTTTTTTTTCCTAATTATCATTTAAAAATAATGCTAATTTATAAAAAGATTTCAAACATTGCTTCAGTTACGTAATTTTTGTAAGGAATGTATGAAACTTTGGTATCCTTTCCAAAAATCATTTCTAGAAATTACGTATTATGTATGACTCAATTCTAATTCATCTATTATCACCGTGTCTTGAAATATTGAGGTGTTTCCAAGGTTTTGCTTGCATCATCACAGTCGAAAATCATCTATTCAATCACAGACTTCAATCCGTTGGGTATGCTTATAAAAAACCTACTTTCAAGTTGTTCTTTTCACAACAGTTTCTGGTTATCAATGTGTATGCGTGTGTGTTCCTGTGTATATGTATTTATTTTCCTGATATACCCCTACCCATGCCAGTGTTACCCCCTTGCTGTTGCTATTTCTCTTTATGAACTAAATTGTATTTTTTAAGCCCTGTTTTCCATCTAAGACAGAACATGGCGAATTTTATTTGGCGTATTGGACTTTGACTGAAATGAATAAGATTAAAACGGTAATTGTTGTCCCTCCCAACAGATAAAAAACGTGGAATTTTATATGTTTGATTTACCGTATATACCCCTACCCCTGCCACTGTTGTCGCATGCTACTGCTGCTATTTCTGTTTAATATTAACCATCATGTGGCTGATATTTAATTAATTTATATATGTTTCTTCTTATTAAAAAAATATAACGATTGCTGACCTCCAATTGCCGATGTATGCTGCCTTATACACCTGCCTTCACCAAAAGATATATGAAAGAGTTTAATAAATTTGATTTTATATTTTGACAGTTTAACAAATTAGACATTATTCCTCTGCTTTGAATGTTTTTCATTTAAAACCCAAATTTTATATTATTGCTTAATATCCTTTTACCATTTCACACTTAATTGAGTCAAACATCATGTTCTGCTATTATTTCAAATCTAATTTGTTAAACTGTTGTTTGAATCATTGTGAAGTGTTGATTAGTACTTATTAATCCTTAATTTGCTTGGTTCAGTTTATATAAATGTCCTTACTATTAACATGATAAATGAGGATTGAACAACATTGGTGTATATGTATTTATTTTCCCGATATACCCCTAACCATGCCACTGTTGCCCCCTTGCTTTTGCTATGTCTCTTGATTCCCTTTTCACAAGAATTCTATAACTTTGGTTGTGTTTTTTTTTCATGCCCACTATTTATTCTTTGTCACAATAATGTTTTGCATTAGGGTATTTTTGTCATTTTCAATTAATATTTCCATGTCTTTGTCTTATTAATCTCTTAATCTCTTGTGATGAATTGTATATTAATCGAGGTCAAAATTCGACATTATGGCAAGACATTTGACGGCCTCATCTAAAAAACGGGTTTTCCTTCTCTTTTCTTATTTTTATTATTTATAAAATTCTTATTTTAGTTGTTATGTTAATATACACTTATTTGTTGGAATTAATGACTTTATTAAAGTAAAATATACAATACTAATATATTAGCAATTTTTAACTACTACATATTAATCTTATTAACGTCTCCATTTTTTATAATTTTCAATTTTAAATTTTAATGGAGTTATTGTCAATATACTTTTTATTACATAATTTTTTTGTTCTTAAGCTACAAACACGATATGGATTCAAACGAACATAAAGAAAGACGCAGATATGGAAAATTATATTTGGATCAAAGAAGATCCAATGTTGGCTCCGACATGTCATTTGGTAATTCTCTATCTACATCTCAATTTACTTTCATTTTCAGTAATGTTTTTATATTTAACTTATGTTGAACAAATATTGTTTTATATCTTCAGACGTTTTATCTCATATAATCGTTGCATTTTCAAATAAACCATTGTTATTATTATATATTCAATGTAGGTTATTCTCCGCAGCATTTACCATCTTCAAACAATTCTAGACATATTCGCGATGACAGTGAAAATGTGAATCCAAATATATCATATGCATATCAACATACAAGTTTCAAATCTACTTCAACTTTTGATATTAGAAGTGCATTGTTTGATGCTGCTAGAGAGAACAGAAAACTTAGAAAATTATATTTGGACAAGAAAAGATCCAATCATATGTCCACATCGTCTAATGGTATATCGTTTTTTATCGGATAGACTAATTTTTAATTTTATACATTATTTTTCATCTCACACAATCCTCTTAATCTTAATTATTATTATGTTTTATACACTATTTTTCATCTCACTCAATATTTTACACAATATTGTTATATTTTACCTGCACTCTTTGCTACATTGCAATTAATTTTACATTATTATTTTATAAATCCCTTTTATATCATTTCCAATTATATCATTAAAATTATTTTTTGTATTTTTCTTATTATATGTTAACTTACAATTATTTGTATCTGTAGTATAACAATCATATTTTATATTCTTTTACAGTGCTTTCTAATATAACTACCAACATTCAAACACCTTCATCAAGCAAGTTTGTCAATATTGTCGGTAACAATGAAAATGTCAGCCCAACTTTGTCATGTGGATATCAGCAAAAACGTGTTCAATCTATTTCAAATATTTATATCGGTAGTCAATTGTCGAACAAGGCTAAAGATAAATGAAAAGAAAGGAAAAGTTATTTGGATACAAGAAGATCCAATCACATGTCCACCGTACCAATCGGTATATGATATATATCATCTTACCTATTTAAATTAATCCATATAAACTTATTCTAAATACAATGCTAATATACTATGTTTTTATACATGTTTCTTTATTGTTCCCTAATTAATACATATTTATATGAACTTATCTTTTATTGATAGATAATATTGGTCGTGATCAAGAACGTTTTCATTATGCTTCTAATTTTACTACAAGAACTCCGTTGTCCAACATTTCAAATGGTACGACTACATTTATATTTGACTTACTGTTTGTTACTATATATGGTACACATAAAATAATATGTATTCATTTTTTTTTATTATTTTTTTATCTATTTACTTTATAAATTTAATACTAATTGTCATTCTTTTCATGTTAGTAAATGCACAATATTCTACCTTGTCTGGTGACATGAGAGCTACGAATTCATCTTCAGTCACTCGAGCTTCTTCCAGCAATTTATCATGCAGAAATCTAAATAAAAAAAGAAAGATTCCAAATATATCTCAAATACCCATTCTGGACTTAACATCGGATGAAGATTTACGTGATCAACAAATCCGTCAACAATTACTATCAGGTGTTGCAAAAGGAAAATATTAATTTTTATTACAAATCCCCTTTTACATATAAATTATTACTCAATGCAATATTAAATTATTTCAAAGTTTTATAAATGTTTTTTTTAAACAGATTACTTGGACCATGGTGACCAGACTTTTGTGTGTACCATGTGTCATGCACAATTATGGACATCTGAAGCTCTTAAAGGCAATACTTATGGAAATAAAACTTCTTATTCTATGTGTTGTGGTAACGGAAAAGTCGAGCTTCCTGAATTAAAACAAGCTCCAGCAAATTATCAAAATCTCTTTCGTAATGTTGATCCAAAAGGAAAACATTTCATGAAGAATATTCGTCGATTCAATTCGATGTTTTCTTTTACTTCAATGGGTGGAAAAGTTGATTCTTCAATTAATAGAGGCAATGCTCCATATGTTTTCAGACTTAGCGGTCAAAATTACCATTGTATGGGAAGTCTTCTACCAATAGACGGATCCAAACCAAAGTTTTCTCAACTATACATATATGATACTGAAAATGAAATAACAAATAGACAACACGCTTTCAGGTATAACTTTATTAATATTTTTTATAAACCATTACTTTTATAATTTTGATATATTTTTATTTACTTGCTAAATTTACATATAACTGTTGTTGTTAACAGTACACAGAACGAAGGGTGCACATCAACTTCTCATTCTCTTGATATTGAAATCATTAGCTTTTTGAAGGTCATGTTGGATTCAACCAATGAGCTGGTTAAGTGTTATAGAATGGCCAGAGACTGTTTTGATGAAAATCCTCATATAGATCTAAAGTTACGTCTTATAGGAAGAAGGCAACAAGATGCATGGAAGGACATATAACTTACCTATTCTGAGGTTGCTGCTCTAATTGTTGGTGACATTGGTGATGCAATTGATAATAGAGATATCATCGTAACAACTAAATCAGGAAGTCTACAACGCATAAACGAATTACATCCAGCTTACCTTGGTCTTCAGTACCCACTACTCTTTCCATATGGAGATGATGGATATAGAGTTGACATACCTCACAGGGATGTTGCTTATTCAACAAATACCAAACGTTGTTTCTGTACAATGAGAGAATTCTTTGCTTATAGAATTCTTAATTCTTAATTCAAGAAGGCTTTTTCAACAATTTCTGGTTGATGCTTATACGATGATTGAAACTGAGAGACTATATTACATACGCAATCAGCAAAAAGTTCTTAGATGCGAATCTTATGAAACTTTAAAAAGCATACACAATCATGGTAATACTGATATTTCCAACATTGGAAAACGTGTTATCTTGCCTTCTTCTTTTACGGGTGGTGCACGCTACATGATGCAAAACTATTTAGATGTCATGTCGTTTTGTAAGTGGTTTGGATACCCAGATTTTTTCATAACCGTAACATGCAATCCAAAGTGGCCTGAAATTAAAAGGTTTCTTGCTGACACCACACTTAATCCCGAAGATAGACCCGATATACTTTCTAGATTATTCAAAATTAAGTTGGATTCTTTGATTAAAGACTTAAAGAAGAAGAGGTTATTGGGTTTGGTCCAAGCAGATATTATATATTACAATAATAGTTTTATCTAAATGTTTAGTTTATGTTTTGTATTATCTTATAATATTATATTTATTTAAATCTACAGTTGTTTATACAGTGTAGTTTCAAAAGCGCGGTCTACCTCATGCACATATATGTTTATTCATGCACTCTGATTACAAACTCCCTACTGTTGAACATATTGATCGAGTTATTTCGGCTGAAATTCCAAACAAAGACGATGATCCAGAATTATACTCACTTGTCAGTGAGTTCATGATGCATGGTCCATGTGGTTCTGATAATCCTAAATGCCCATGCATGAGTGAAAACAAGTGTTCAAAAAACTTCCCCAAGCCATTCTTGGAGAATACTTCTGTTGATTCAAATGGTTATCCTATATATAGGAGATGAAATGATGGATCTTTTATAGAAAAGTCGGGTGTTAAGTTAGAAAACAGAAGTGTTGTTCAATATCACAAAACCCTTTTGAAATGATATCAGGCTCACATTAATGTTGAGTGGTGCAATCAAGCGGCTTTAATCAAATATTTGTTTAAATATATTAACAAGGGTCCTGATCGGGCTACTATTGAAGTTGCACAAAACAACAACGGAGGTGATATTGATGATGTTCCTGTTGATGAAATAAAGAACTACTATGATTGTAGGTATTTGTCTGCATGTGAAGCTTCGTGGCGTATATATGGATTTGATGTTCATTACATATATCCTTCTGTTGTAAGGCTTCCGTTCCATCTTCCTGGAAAACAAAATGTTGTATACGGAGCAGATGATGATATTGAAGATGTCCTTGACAAACAATCTATTTCTTTCTTCGATGTTCTTATCTTGGATGAGCTGTAATGAACATAATGAGGATGCACGAAAACTTTCTTATGTTGAGTTTCCTACAAAATTTGTATGGAAACAAAAAGATCGTTGTTGGGAGCCAAGAAAAAAAGGGTTTTCTATTGGGAGGATTCACACAGTTTCACCTAATCTCGGTGAAGCATATTTTTTTTGAGAATTCTTTTAAATAAAGTCAAAGGTCCAAAATCATTTGCAGATATTCGTACGATTAATGGACAAGTATGTCCTACTTTTAGAGATGCATGTTATGCTCTTGGACTTTTAGAAGATGATAGAGAATATATTGATGCCATCGAGGAAGCAAGTCATTCAGGATCTGGTTATTATTTACGGTTTCTATTTGCAACTATGCTAAAGTCCAATAGTTTGTCTGAACCGTGTTATGTTTGGCAAAATACTTGGCAATACTTATCCGATGGAATTCTCTACAATCAACGAATGAGATTAAAGTCTCCAGGTATTATTATTTTTCTCATTCCTTACATTTTATACATTACTTATATAATTTTGAATGCTAATTATATTATTATTTGAAATTTTTATGTTTTTTATAAATATTTTAAAGTTTTTTATACACATTATGTTTATTACGTCATAAATGGATATATTTATCTTTTAATAATTAACTCTGCAATTGTGATAGGTTTATCCCTTAATGACGATCAGCTTAAAAATTTGACGCTATATGAGATTGAAAAAATTCTACTCCAAAACAGTTCAAGCCTTAAAGATTTTGTTGGGATGCCTTACCCTGATCATGAATTGGTATCTTCATCAAACAACCATTTGATTACTGAGGAGTTAGATTTTGATATGAACAATCTACAAAAGAATCTCATCAGCTACTTGATTCATTAACAATTGAACAACGATCAGTTTTTGATGAAATCATGACAACTGTTAGACAGAAAAAAGGGGGTGTGTTTTTTGTTTATGGCTATGGAGGTACCGGTAAAACTTTTCTTTGGAAGACTTTATCTGCATGTATAAGATCTAAAGGTGATATCGTTTTAAATGTTGCTTCAAGTGGTATTGCTTCATTGTTACTAACCGGAGGTAGAACAGCACACTCACGCTTTATAATTCCTCTAAATCTTACTGAGGATTCCTTTTGTTCTTTTTCACCGGATAGTGATGTAGCCGAATTGTTAAAAAAAAATCATTGATTATATGGGACGAGGCACCTATGATTCATAAGCATGCATTTGAAGCCTTGGATCGTTCTTTGAAAGATATATTGAGTCGTGATTTTCGTGCAAACTCAAAGTTGCCATTTGGAGGAAAAACAATTGTCTTTGGAGGCGATTTTAGACAAATTCTACCAGTTGTTCCTAATGGAAGCAGACAAGACATTGTGAACGCTTCTTTAAGTTCCTCTTATATTTGGTCAAGTTGCAAAGTCTTAACATTAACAAAAAAACATGAGGTTAAGTGTTCTCACATCTGATATTCAAGAAACGGAGACTTTTGCAAAATGGATTTTGGATATAGGAGAAGGAAAAGTTGGTGGTTTGAATGATGGCGAGACAATTATTGATATTCCAACTGATCTTCTCATTGTTGATTCAGTTGATCCTATTGGTTCATTAATTAGATTTGTCTATCCTTCTATTATTGAAAATGCTAAGAATCCGATTTATTTTCAAGAAAGAGCAATCCTTGCACCGAAGAATGAAGTCGTTCAAGAGATTAACGAGCGTTTGTTAAAAGTATTTCCAGGAGATCCACATGAGTATTTAAGTTCTGATAGTCTTTCTCATGTAGATTTTGTTTATGATGAAGTTGATGAAACTTTATACTCTCCTGATGTTCTAAATGGTCTTAGACCTTCAGGTATGCCAATTCATAAGTTGGTGTTAAAAGTCGGTGTTCCGGTTATGTTACTAAGGAATATTGATCAGAAATGTGGATTGTGCAATGACATAAGGTTACGGGTTATTTCATTGGGTAAACGTGTTATAGAAGCTGAAATAATATTTGGAAGTAATATCGGAAGCCGTACGTTTATTCCAAGAATGTCTTTGACGCCTTCAGATAAAATGATTCCTTTCATATTTCAAAGACGACACTTTCCACTGGCTGTATGTTTTGCAATGACAATAAATAAAAGTCAAGGACAATCACTATCGAGGGTGGGGTTGTTTTTTAGACAACCAATATTCACTCATGGTCAGTTGTATGTTCCATTGTCGAGAGTTAAAAGTAAAGCTGGATTAAAGATATTAATTTTAGATAAAGATGGTAAACTTACCAACACGACATCTAATGTTGTGTTCAAGGAAGTCTTTGGAAATTTGTAATTCATAAAAATAAGTGTCAATATTTTAATAGTTGTTTTTATTTATAAATTAACTTACTTATTCATCATTTGTTTTTTATATATGTAGCAAGTTTTTATTAATTCATGTTTAATGTTTACATCATTATTGTCATCATCATTTTACAAATATGTACCATTTTATTTTATTTGTTTATATATTGAAATAGTTACTTTATTCATTATACATTTTTGTATTTATGTAAAATTATTACTAAAAAACATGTAATTCTTAACAATTTATATTGATTTTTTAATAAAACCCGTGTAATACACGGGTCTCACACCTAGTAACTAATATTTGTAAATGAAATATAAGTCAAAAGAAATTAAGAATTGAATAATGGCCCAATCTTCTCTTTAAAATTTAAAGGGCCAAAGCCTACGAACCCATTTCACACAGAAAGTATCAAACTACTAATTATTTATAACCCCCACATTTAACAAAACCCTTTCTAAAACCTAATTTATTTACTAATCAATTCACTCAAATCACTTCATGTTTAGAAGTAAATTCGCATACCCATTATAAAACATGCAAGAATTGATCACAGCACATGTACCCACATCATGATTTCCATCATTTCACATCCTTAAATCTTCAAAATAAATTCGGAGAAAACCCACAAAATAACTTCAACAACTGGAATACTTATTCAATGATTTAACACGATCCATTATAAATATCTCTTGTGAATCTTCTTTAACGAGTTGTATTGAAATTGAGCTTGATTCATATGAAAGCAGAGAACAATTGCTGCTACAATTTCTCAAAAAAGGAGCGATGGTGTAGCAGAATCTGTTTTGTGATTGCTAACGAATCATAATTGGTATCTTAAATGGAAGAAAGAAGGAAGATGAGGGTCCATTATGCAAATATTACAATGAAGGAAAAAGTGAAAGAAGGATTGGTGAACTGCAAATATTTTTACTTTAAAATAACAGGCTTCAACAAAGTTTGATGGTTTGAATAAAAAGAAGAAAGTTTGAAGTCCAAATTGTTAAAACAAATTAAAATGTGTCCAAACTGTAAAACAAATAAAAGCTTGTTGTAAAAAATGTAAAAGAAAACGAAAGTTTGTTATTTGTTACATCTTTTTAACTTCCGAAATATTCGCGCCTCACACTCCAACAGCCTTCACTCAAATACTTGCAGAGTAGAATGGAATCCTATTTCTTCCATTTTCCTCTCACTAAGAATCAACTTCAACATTCCATTTTTCTTCTGTTCACAATCATTTAACTGAAATTCTTATGCGTTCACAAGAATCAACCCCATTACCTACAACTCTCACACTTGAATCATATTCACAAGAGCAATCATCATGGGTTGTGTTAAATCGAACCACCAAGGTGAGTATTCCAACTTTCCAAGTTATTTCATGGGTTTTCTTAAATTTTTCTTAAGATTTTTGTATGTGAAATGATGAATCGTTTGTTTAATTAATGTGTTTCGACCATTCTTACATTTGTGATTCTGGGAATCTGAACTTTTCGCTGAACATGAAATGATTCGACTCAATTCAGTGGTTAATTAGATGTTCAGAGAAAGGGTATTCTCTCATTTGTTCATCTTCGATTTTTTTTTTTTCATTTTCGCATCATTGTCTTCTGTAAGTTCTAAGTTGAATCACCTATACCCTTAAGATAAAATTATGTAGAAATCTTCATTATTGAAGACCATTTTGTTTAATTAGTTCTAAAATTACACTTTTTATGCTAATTTGCAAATACTTAAGAATGTTCTTGACTGCTATCTAGTGAGCTTTACCCGGGTTCCCTTGATATCGACTGACTATAGAGAAAAAGCCACATCAGGGCGAGTACATGCCATAGCGTACATGATCGAGCCAACGACGGAAGCATATGGTACTCGACTCATTTCTGCTATCTCTTCATCAGTACTTGGACTCTGAGTCTTACTCAGTTTAGTACCCTATCCAATTAAGTACTTTGACTAAGTCCAATTAGTCTACTACTCCTATTTCTCAAGATCATTATCCCAAAATATAAGCAGCTTCTCCTAGATCCTTCATAGCGAAACACTTTCCAAGCCAGGACTTAACCTCCTGCAGGGCTGGTATGTCGTTTCCTCTGAGTAGTATGTCATCAACATACAATACTAGAAACCTAACTATACTCCTACTAGCTTTGACATATACACAACATTCATCCTCACTCCTAGAGAAACCAAAATCTTTGACTTTCTCATCGAAGCAAAGATTCCATCTGCGAGAAGCTTATTTCAATCCATAGATTGATTTTTCAAGCTTACACACTCTATTAGGGTATTTAGCATCCATAAAACCCTCTGGCTGACACATGTAAACATCTTTAGCCAGCATTCCATTAAGTAAAGTGGTTTTGACATCCATCTACCAGATTTCATAATCATGAAACGCAGCTATGGCTAACATAACCCTAATAGATTTGATCTTAGCCAATGGTGAGAAGGTTTCATCATAGTCAATCCCCGAGGTTTGAGTACAGCCCTTCGCAACCAGTCGTGCCCTGAACATTTGCACCTTTCCATCCATGTCAGTCTTCTTCTTGAAGATTCATTTGCACCTAACTGTCTTTTGACCTGGTACATTGTCAACCAAGTTCCAAACTTGATTGTCATACATGGACTGGATCTTGCTGTCCATTGCCTCTTTCCACTTGGCAGACTCAGGGC